AGTTCAGCTACAACAATTGCTGGTACAGGGGCTCAGATTATAGAAACCAGTGTATGTGTAAAACACGAACAAAGCAAGCCCCGCATAGTGAAGTTGCACCACAGCAACCCCTGTTCACACTTGGTGCAGCTTCTCCTGCCCTCACATGCCACCATGCTGGGGGTGGCTGTACACTATCCACACAGGTATCTTGAATCTCCAGTGCTCTGGTTCTCAACCTCCTGATGCTGCGACCCTTTAATAGAGTCCCTCATGTTGTGCTGACCCTCAACCAAAAAATTATTTTCATCGCTACTTCATAACTGTAATTTTGCTACTGTTATGAATTGTAATGTAAACATCTGTGTTTTCCAATGGCCTTAGGCGACCCCTGCGAAAAGACCGCTTAACTTCCTCAAAGGGGCTGCGACCCACAGATTGAGAACCACTGCTCTAGTGGCTTCTTGTCCAGCTCCTTGGCACTGAGCAAGGGCCTTGGCTGTATATATGTAGGTGTTCAGAGGAGATCCAGACAGGAACAGATGGAGGCCTTGGGGTATCCTTGTTCTCACATCAACTGGGAACCACAGAGCAGAAGGGTAGTAGAGTCCGGAATGGAGACCAGAGAGCACATTCTGAATCCTTAGCTCTCCCTCCTGGATCCCCCATACCAGATCCTCCCCTTGGAGTCGCCCACTTCCTCGGTTGTTAACAGGCTGGGAAACAACCCAGGTGTTGTCTCTTAGGAAGCATCATGTTAACCCCAGGCCCTGACATACACCGCAGTACATCGCAGGGCTCAGGGGACTTGGATTACAACAATAACAACACATACGCATTTTTCCTCATAACTTACAAGTTCTCATTCACATCCTCACGAGAGCCTTGCAAGTCGATTTTGTCACCCAGCCTCGTTTTGTAGATGAGGAAACAAAGGGTCAGGAAAATGAAGCGCCTTCTCCTAGAACATGTACCAGGGCCAGGACTTGACCCGGGTCTTTCGTCTCCCTCCACTCCCAGCTTGTCCACTAGGTCCTGCGATCTCTGGTTCAAGCTCTGCCCTGGGCAACCTTTTCTGGGCCTCTGTGTTTCCAGCTGTGGAATGGAAGCCACCCACTCTGTGGCTTCGCCTCTCAGCTTCAGCAGATAAGACAATTGGGTGGCACGTGGAAAATGCCCAGGGTGGGAGAGTCCTCTGGTCCCTTTCAGCCACTAGCTGCTGTTCCGCAGTCACCCTTCCGGGCCCTTCCTGTCCCAAGCACGTACAGGCTTTTCACTTCCACCCCATTATCACTTCATTTGTAGAATTTTAAGGTTCGTTACCTGGGAGCTAGGAACTCACACCTCCAATTCGGTTTCTCATATATACCTTCGTGACGTGTGAAAAGAGGCCTTATTAACAGTACCTAACCTGTCACAGCCTCGTCTGGGGAGCATCTAGATCCCCAGCAGCGCCAGGGCAGGGAAACAGCATGGCTGGCTGCAGTGCGGAAGCCTCTGGAGCCCTGGAATCTGCTCTTGGCCTTTGAGGGTCCTGGGGCTGTTATCATGGTCAGCAGAACTCCAGCCAGGGTCAGAGCTGCTTTGAAGAGTTAGTTGGCCACCGCCCCTTCCCCAGCGCCCCCAAACTCCTCCCCGAACAGCTCCTGTGCCTGCCCAGCTCCCCTACCTCCTGGACACTTGTCCAGGATTGATTGTCTGGGCAGCTCCCCCTCTGAGCAGTAAATGAAATATTGGTCACCAGGAGTGAGGCAGGAGCCAATTAACCCCCAGACCTCGACATGGCAGATGTGTTGTAGGAAGCTGAAGCGGAGGGCTGAGTGCACCTGCCTGGCCTTCCTGCAAAGTTGTCCAATTAGGGCAGTCCCCAGCAGTGGACCCCACTGCCCCCTCTGGACCTAGTAACCTCAGAAACCAGGGTGACGCTAGCACCTACGGCTGGCAGCTGCCTGGATAGAGAATGGGCTGCCATTCCTGTGTGAGTGAACTCTGGGGATATCTCCATCCTCACACCCCTCCTGACAGAGACGTTCTTCCTTAATTAGTCACACAGCTTTCTAAAGCGGGGGTGGGGGAAACCTGGGGCCTGGGGAGACTTCTTGCTTCCACTCCCTAGAGTGGGGTGGGTGGGGGGTAACCTGGGGAGACTTCTAGCTTCCATTCCCTAGAGTGGCCTCGCATTCTGTCTGTCCAGCCTTCTTCCACTCCCCACCTAGCCCTGCTCTGGAATATCCCTGTACCTAAAGAGCCCCAGACTGAGGAGGCTGAGGCGAGACAGGCCATCTGCTCTTAGAGAACTCCCAGCTTAAAGGAGACAATCTTGTCTTCAAGGTTACCCTAGCTCACGGGTAAACAGTCCCCTCATCTCAGAAAGGCCTAGACGAACAGAAAAGTAAGCTTGTGCCTACCCAATGAACTACTAGTGGGAACCACCACCACTCCATTGAGGGATCAGTTACTGACGGAAGCAGATACACAGCTCTCTGTCAAGGAGTTAGGTGAGTGTGAGAAGTACAGACTTTGAGGTCCCACGAGTCTGATGCAGGAGACACAAGCCTTGCCTTCAGAAGACTTTCCAGTCTGAACAGTGGAGACATAGCTCTTGCCCCTCATCAGCTGTCTCTCGTCTGAGGGAGAAAACAGAATTTTGTCTTTAGGGAGTCACTGTTTGATGGAGAAGACACCTTCTAGTAGATTCCCAAGCAGCTGGCATCGCGGGACATTCCTGAAGCCTTGCAAAGGTAGAAAAACCCCTTGGCTTCAGTCATTCCTAGGTGTGCCACAGACATCCTACCTGGCCATAGGCAAGTCACGAGTCTGTGAGCCCCCATCTCTCAAAATGACATGAGGATTAGCAAGTCACCAGAAAGAAATGCAAAGCAGCCAGCTAGCCAAGCACTCACTGTAGACACAACTAGCATGCTTTTGGTCGTACCAGAGGTCCTGGGACAGTCCTTATGGTCTATAGGTTAGGGCGGACACCCCCAAATATGGTCACTGGATAATTCTGAGCCAGTGTGGCTATCAAAGAGTCAGAGGCAGCTGTGGACATCCCTGGGGACAGAAGGAGTGCCTTCTAATCTAATCACACTTCCCACGGAGTCTCTAGTTCCATCCAGAGCTGCCAGGGGTTTTATTGGGTTTGTGGGGACCTGCAGATTTCAATCTCCAGATCCCACAGGGAGGGAACAAGCATTAAACTAATTTTATTAAATGGCCACAGCTGGCAGCGGGGGGAAATAGGGGAGAGACGGGAAGATAAAGAAAGCCATTCAAATCTGCCAGCCATGACAAGGGTCCATACATGGGGCCTGGCCAGGAGGGTGGCTACCCCTCCTTCCTGTCTCTCCAGCTGAGCCAGACTGGCGAGCCAGATGGGACCTTCCCTCAATGTAGAACCTTGGCATTCTCCAAAAGCCCCAGCCCGTGGCTGCGGCCCATGGCAGATGTTTATTAATGCATCAGGCCTCTGTAGGGCTGGGGTGGAAGGAGAAGAAAGAGACAGGGCTACCTCAGCTCCAGTCTCAGCTCTGCTTTGAATATGCCAGTTCCTCATGAATATGGAGCACTGGGTAAGAGCACTATCCTTGGCTCAAAGGTTGGCATTTGCCGGTTTGTAGCCCCGTGGTTTGGCCAGCTACGTAACCTCTCTGAACTTCAGTTTCTTTATCTAAAAGTGGATAAAACAGCCGGGAGTAAAGCAGTGTACCTATAATCCCCGAGAAGCTGGAACAAGAGGCTCATGTGAGTTCAGGAGTGATGACCCTGGTAAGATGGGGAGCGAGACTCCATCTCAAAATAAATATATCATTAAAATGCTCGAAACAAGCTGGGCAGTGGTGGCGCACACCTCTAATCCCAGCACTCTAGAGGCAGAGACAGGTGGATCTCTGTGTTGTAGGCCAGCCTGGTATACAGAGTGAGTTCCAGCCAGCCAGGGCTACACTGTGAAACCTTGTCTCAGAAAACAAACAAATAAAAATTAGACAAAATAAAAGCACCTGTGGGAGTGGGAAATCTTTTCATGAACCCATTTTTGAACCCCACACACAACTGTGAGGAAATGTTTATAAAGTGCCTATCCGGGGCTGGAGAGATGGCTCAGTGGTTAAGAGCATTGCCTGCTCTTCCAAAGGTCCTGAGTTCAATTCCCAGCAATCACATGGTGGCTCACAACCATCTATAATGAAGTCTGGTGCCCTCTTCTGGCCTGCAGGCATATACACAGACAGAACATTGCATACATAATAAATAAATAAATATTAAAAAAAATAAAGTGCCTACCCAGTTTGACACACAGTGGGGGTTTTCTAAATAGTAGCTATCATTATTTAGAAATGCTTTATCTGTCTGGGTGTTGCAGCTTGCCAGTTACAAGAAGTCGAAAGAGGCAGAGGCAGGCCAGAGAGACTCAGGGTGACTGAGATTCAAATACAACCACAGAACTTAACAACCAAACCTGCCCGTTTACCTAACTCCAGCGTGGGTGGGAGAGTACCTAAAAGTATGACCTCGAAAGAGGAAGAGCTATGGACTCTGAGCATGCACATTATACCTCTCTAATCTTCAATGGGGTAAGTGGGTCTCTTTTCCCACATTTTACTGATGAAAAACCAGAGGCCAGGAGTAGCGCTTGGAACAAGGTTAACCAGCTTTTAGGGCAAAGCTTGGTTCTTTCTGTGGCGTTCACCAGCTGGAGAGGAACTTGGATCACAAGAACCTAGGCTCTCTGCTTAAAAAGTTGTTTGTACCTTGTTCCCAACGTAGCCAATGCAAAAATGGCACTTCACCCCCACGTAAGATATAACCGCATTGCTTCCCACTCCTCCCCCTCCAGCTGCCCACGTGGGCTGTGGTAAGCACCAGACCTCTTGGTCCTTCTCCCGGAGCAGCTGATTCCAGCATCTGGCTGTGCCTAGAAACTTTTACCATGCTCCTTCCCAGTCTAGAGGACAAGGTCCAGGGTACCTCCTACAGACTTGCCCAGGGCACAGACTGAAATCCCCACGGGGTGGAAATGTTTTTATTATAGCTTTGGTCAGACCAGTTGCAGCTGTTCCAGGGTTTTGTGGGTGCTGGGAAGTTATCCAGCCCCTAACCCGCTTCTTCCCGAGGCGGGGTCACTCCGCAGGAAGCAACAGCGCCAACTCCCCGCCCCCCAGACTGGGGCTGGCTGGCAGGACGGGGTGGGCAGTAAACAGTCCTATTGTACACATATACAGTGCAGGCTGGGACCAGGAAGGCGACCTGCCACCCGGGCCGGAACTGCGTGCGGGTGGGGGGGGGGGGAGCCGGAGAGGGGATTAAGCGCTCCAAGGAGTAAAGGCCTGGACTGGGTGGTTGGAGGCGGGCTGGGGGCGATTCAGCCTGGGAGGGTTGGCAGTCTGGGCCAGGCAATTTGAAAATGAGTAGGGAATGGGTTCTCATTTGCCTCTCCGGAGAGGGGAGCCCCAGGGATGAAGAGCAACGGATGGAAAGGGGTGCAGGGGCTCAGTCTGAATAGATGATGAAGCCAGAGAAAGTGCTGTATTTGTTGCTGTTGCCACCGTGCGCTTTGCCTCCGTCCAGCTTGATGAAGACCTCATCGCCTGCGTCCAGGTGCAGGATCACGCTGTTGCTGGCATAGTCGTAGTTCTGGTCTGCATCCTGGGCGATGGCGCTGGCCCGCACCTATGGGGGGGGGGGCGTGGGAGGGCGGGGTGGAGATGGGGTTACGGATGGGGAATGGGGCAGTGTGAGAGGGGAAGGAGGTGAGGCAGCCACACGGTGAGGATCTGGGGGCCCTCAGGTCCAGCTTTCCCACCCACCAGCCCACCCTACCCCCTTTTAGTCATGCATCATCACATTTTGGGAGCAGTCATAGAGAAGCCCTGGATTCTAGGGCAGGGCACAACTGCGCCGAATCCGAAGTCCAGATGGAGTCTTCCTCTGTAACTCCTGCAGGTCTTACCATCTGCCTGCTGCCCACCTCAGTGCCTCCAGGGTGGCCCAGCTTGGAAGTCCTTTCCTTGCATAGAGGGCTGCCTTGTGCTTCCTGAGATGGAAGATCTGTCCTCAGCATTCCTTCCTCTCTGCTTCAATATCGAGGATGTTTCCCTTTCCCTCATACCCACCTGCTCTCATGGCAATGGATGGACAAAGGATACGGCTTGGCCAGAGGGGAGGCAGCTGGGGTAATACCAGGCTGCCAGTAAGGAGCCACCCGAGAACTGGGGCTGAACCTTTGGTCCTATCCAAAGCTCATTCCAGAGTCTCTTTTACCTTGCCACTGAGATTCAAGGCCTGGTAATTATTTCCTCTCCTGGCCTTTGATTGACCTCCCTGCCCAAGGCCTCTGGGAGTTACAGCTACATCCCTGGCCAAAGGATGATCATGTCTCTTCCTAGGGTAGCAGAGAGGAACGGGATGGGAAGAAAGGCATTGAGGTCTTACATACTCAGTGGTCCTTGCCTTGAAGGGACATGAGGACAGGAGGGGACCGCTCAAGGGAAGCACTAGCAAGGAAATCTGAATATTGCCACGACTTTTGGATGCTCTGACTAGTTTTAAGACATTGAGGGGAGGATATTGGTGGTTGAATTATCTGTGGACATTTCTGAAGCAATGAGAGAACTAAGCTTTAGGACTTAGGATCTCCCTAAAATAAAGAGTAAGGAACAGAAGAAGAGGGGCTGGAGAGTTGGCTCAGTGGAGAAGACCACAGGCTATTCTTCCAGAGGACCCAGGTTCGATTCCCAGAACCTACATCACAACTGCCTGTAACACCAGCTCCAGGGGATCCTATGCCCTCTTCTGTCCTCCAAAGGCACCAGGCACACATGTGATGAACAGACATACGTGCAGGCAAAGCACCCATCCACATAAAATAAACTTTAAAAATTAAAAAGAGAGTGCGAGAGGAGAAAAGCCATCCCCTGGGTTGTGGCCAGCAGTGGGGAAGGCTACGTTGAACTGGGTTCTCAAGCAGGCTCTCCCACAGTTCCTCTCTATGCAGCTCCTCTGAAAACAGCTCCTGCAACCTCAGCTGATGCCAAAGCACAGCGGGCAGAGGGGGTGGGGGGGGGGGGGGGGGGGGGGGGGGGGGGGGGGGGGGGGGGGGGGGGGGGAAGGGGAGATAAGGAAGGCACAACTGCAGGTCATCCTTGCCAAACCAGCCGCCTCCGCAGCAATGCTGCACCCAAGAGGGCCCACCGCATTCGAATGCAGCTTCCCAAAAGTCAATGTCCTTCTACTGTTATCCAATGTTATCTCTCCATAACCTCTTCTCCAGCCAGCGCTGGAACTATGTGGATTCTAACTGGGGAGACATCTCCTAAAACAAAGCAGGAAAAGGGGCTGGTGAGAAGGTAAAGGTACCCCTACTGCCAAGCCTGATGGCCTGAATTCAGTTCGCAGATGGAAACCCGCATGGTAGGACAGAACTGACTCCTGCAAGTTGGTCTCTGATCTCCACAACAAGAAGTGTTGTGTCCCCACCTCAATAATGTAATAAAATTTTAAAGGTGTGCCCGGCAATACTGGTGTACATCCATCTTTCATCCCAGCCCCCGGGAGGCAGAGGCAGATGGGCTTCTTTGAATTCAAGGCCAGCCAGGGCCACACAGAAAAATCCTGTCTCCCCACCCCTCCAAAAAAAAAAAGAGGAACTGCTAATTTAAAGCCTAGGTTTCTCTGTCTAGAAAACTGGATAAGAAGTCCCCATCTCACTACTGCTGCCTTTACAAACGCCTTTAGATGGTAAAGAAAAAAATTAAGCCTTGCTAGGGCTTTAAACTAGCAGAGAAGAGCAAAAAGCAAAACAGCCAACTTCTGTATTGTTCCCTGGGCCCTAATCCTGGTAGTATTTATTATTACACGTGCACTTCATTATCTTTGCTAATAAATTACTACTAATAACAATTATTTTTATTACCCAGATTTAGACTTAACTTATTAAAACAGTGTGCTCTTTAATAGCCAGATCCATTAGAGCACAGCCATCCGTCAACAGGAATCTCCGGGTGATGTGACGGGCATCACAAGTGTTATGCTTATGTTTATTATTTATTCATCACCATGATTGTTGCTGTAATTATCCTAATTATCCAAGGAAGCAGCAAGAATTGATGCCCTTCCATCCCTAGACAGCGGGAGATCCTGAAACAGAACCCAGGGGTCCCGGTTCTCCACTCAAGACTGGAAGCCGTTGAGGCATCCGGCTCCTCTTGGGAGCCGTAGGAAAGATGGGAGAATTGAGGTTGCCATGGAATCCAGAAAGCAGCCCGTTCCATGTCAGGAGGGACTGCCAAGAGGGGAAACTGAGGCAGTGGTTCAACCAAGAGAACCGAGTTGCTAGGCTATAGTCAGGGAAATGGCTCCTGTCCCCAGTCCAGGCTGGGGTCTTGGGTTTGCAGGTGTGGCTCCCAGAAGTGGCCAAGGTGCCTGGTTCATAGAGGACTCATAGGTTTACCGGGCCCCTTCCTTGCATGGTACTAGGCTCTGTGCTGTGAATGGTACCAGAAACTAGCGAGGACAGCTGGGTCTCTTTCCCCCCTCCAGGTGAGAAGGTGATTCCCCAGGAGTTTTTTTATGGCACAGACCTCAATTTACAGATCTCTGCCAGCCTTTGCCCTCCAAGCCCTCACCCATGTGTAGACTCACCTCCCCGTGTCCCCTTCCCTGGACAAACAGCACTGGCCACTGGCATCTCCTCACACGGCCTCTTCCTATAGCCATGCTGATCAGTTTTGTGTCCAGATATGGAGGTAGACAGTCGCCCCGATCCTAGAACCCTTTCCTCAGACGCCTCATCCTAAGCACTAATACCAGGTGCTTTCAGATTGGGGGGATTGACAGAAAGCTACCCCTGTGGAGGGAGGGCAGTGGACCTTGGACAAAGGTCCTTGGGCACTAGGCATCCGATGGCAAACCCCTTTCTCCGCTCTTCTTGCCCAGAATTGGTCTGCCTTCCCAAAGAACTGGCAACCTCTTTGAAAGCAGGAATCTAGGCACTCAACACTCTGGTGACCTCTGTCTGTCCTGAAGGCATGGAAGGCAGAAGCTCCTTTCCACCCACTGTGCAGCCCTGTCATTGTCTTCTCTCCTTAGTAAAATGTTCTCCCCTACCTCTGACTGTTTCCTTCCTCTTTAGTGGCCTCTCCTTACCTGGCAAACCCAGGTTCAGCATCCTTTCCTTCCTGCCAAGTGGTTCTGAGCTAGGGTAGGACCTTCCGGCTGAATCACTCTCTCAGACAACACATTTGGAGACAAGAGTTGCCAGACGCATTCCAAGCCCACCTTCAATGCAGCTGAGTGCAATTGAGTGGGTTATCATATGACCACTGCTGTCTCTACTACATAAGCCATAAAGACCCAGTGGGCAAATGGGCTAAACCCTTGGTGCCAAACAAGCCTCACACCTTGTTTCCTGTAGGGGGTCATGACAAACGTGTGGAATGACTGGTGAGATTCAGTGAGCCTCTTGGACAATCTGGAAAGAGGCACAAAAGGATACTGGGGAGGAGGCCACAGACTCCATTGCTGTTCTTATCATTGGGTGTCTATTTTTTTTTTTTTTTTGAGATAGGGTTTCTCTATAGCTTTGGAGCCTCTCCTGGCACTAGCTCTTGTAGACCAGGGTTGGCCTCAAACTCACAGAGATTCACCTATCTCTATCTCTCAAGTGCTAGGATTAAAGGCATGTGCCACCACCACCCAAGGGGGTTGTCTTGAGTAACTGTTAATGTGCAGAGTCTCTGAAACCCTAAAGTCACCCTCAGTGGGCCTCTGGCAGCCTGTGGTTCTCCCGCCTTGAGAACTCTTCTTCATCAGGCTGTGCTGACACTGTGTCTCTGAGGGAGGGGAAAGACTTTTGGGGAATGGTTTCAGTTCCAGGACTCTAAGGCAAGTGGCCCCATTCCAAGTACATGCTCTCTGAGGAGCCTCCTCAGCTCTGTCTCTGTTGCTGGGACCCTGCTGGGAGACCCCTGTGATGGGGCAGAGTCTAAAGGCCCAGTAACCACTCCATTCCAGCAAGCCTCCAGTCCCCTAAACCTCGGCTTTGGGCCAGCTCAAACTTTCTTTGAGGAAGGAAGGAATGTCATCAACGAAGGTGACATTGCTGCATGCCTTATTGGTGATTAATAAGGGGACTTGTGGGGCTGTCTGCAGTATGAGCCTTTGCTGGATTCTGGGGCTTTCCCATTTGGTCAGGAACCAAGGACAAAGAGGAGAGTCACCAGAAGCCTGATAGACACAAATGGGAGAGATATACAGCTATAGAGAAGGGGGGGGGGTGGACCCAGAGAAGACAGACAGAGATGAATGGCAGATTCCGCTAAGAAATGGTCAAGAGACAGAGAAAGAAGAGGCGAAACCATACCGGGGAGTGGAGGAAGCAGGCAGAAGAAAAAAGCAGACAGACTTCCATGCCGATAGGCTTTCTGCCCACTCTCCTGTCCCCAAACTTTGCAGATCCCAGAGCAGGGTAGTGCTGCAGTGGGAGGGGTTCCGAGAAGATCTGGAGTCTCAATCACAGGGGGTTCCTTCTAATTTCACCAGTCTACCTCAGTTCTGACCCTCTGGCCTCAGGGAAGAGAAGGTTCAACCTGACCACGCCCCCGGGGTGGGGCTCACGTAACCCAGAGGTGAGAGCGCTGGGAACTGGGAAACCAGGGTGGGTGGTTCCAAGGAAAACGCTGTGCGCCCGCCCGCCCTCCCTATCTCAGACCCAAGCAATCCACGGAACAAGGAAAACCTTTCCACCTCCCTATCTTCTAGGATAAAGGAGGAATTGGACCTGGAGACCTTAAGGAGGGGAGTTTCTATCACTCTGCCCCGCCTCTGGAGGAAACTTTTCCCCGGAGGCGCTGGATAGCTCTGAGACTCTGGGAAAAGGTTGAGCATTCCACGGTGTTTGCAAAGGGTATCAGACCAGCTCGAGAATTCCTTCCCTAGAGCCAGGGATGTACTGCAGCTAAGGCTATTGGGTGCCGGACTCCCTTTGCCTTTGTGCCCAAAACATTTCCTGCAGCCCTCCTTCGCCTGCGCGCCCTAGCCACTTGGTTTAGCGTCCTCCGGCGCGGAGACTGTTTCTCCTTATCCGTGCCCTAGAGCACATCTTTGCTGTTCCTTTAAAGCCAGTCAGTGTCAGCTTGAATCTTAGCTCTCGTGTGAAATCAACCTGAATCAGCCTCCCAAGGGCCAAACCCCCAAGGACCGGTCCGCGCGCCCTAGAGCCCTATGATCTGACTAGCTGGATTTATCTTTACGCATTTTCACTCCTCTGAACCACTTGCCTTAGAGCTCGAGCCCAAGGGCTGAAGAGTCAGGGGTGCCTGTTAATTGCAATCATTCTTCATGTGATAGTTAAGGGGGCCGCTTTAGGGTCTCCACCTACGCCTGCCTGGTGTGCCTGTCGACTCATCCAAAACGCATTCTGCTGGGGCTCCCTGGGTGCCCTGCCCCCAGGTTAGCCCCATGCGCCCTCATGGCCCACCTGGCCGTTCTTGCAGAGGTCCGCCCACATACTGGTGCCGTCGCCGCCGCGCATGAGAACGTGGTAGGTGAAAAAGTAGGTGCCAGGAATGTTGCATGTAAACTTGCCGCTGGCCGCATCGTAGTTGTTGCCTAGGTTGGTGACCACGTCGTCAAACTTGAGCACCTCGTAACCCTCATGAGGGTTCTTGAGGCCGGCATAGAAGGCCACGCGTGGCACCGTGGTATAGGTGGCCGTGCTGATGGCGCCGCTGCCTCCTGAACCCGGCAGGCCAGGAGGACCAGGCTTGCCTGGCTCACCCTTTTCCCCCGGCGGTCCCACAGGACCCGGAGGGCCCCGGTCCCCTGGAGGCCCGGGGGGGCCCGGCTTGCCGGTGCGGCCCGGCTTCCCCTGGGGGCCCTGCACCAGCGTGGAAGGCGGGGGCGCACCGCTCTGCTCGCTTAGAGCGTCGCCGCCGTCGGACCGCGCGCCGGCGCCGGGGCCCCGCGCGGGGTAGGGGTCGCACACCATGCGGCAGGTGCCCAGCATCTCATAGTGGCCGTCCGGGCCGCCCGAGCTCACCAACACCGGGATGAGCACCACCAGCACGAGCAGCATCACCACGCCCGCGGCGGCTGCCAGCAGCGTTTTCCGGCCGGCGCGGAGCCTGGGGAGAGCCGGGCCACCCGGCCGCGCCGTCGGGGCAATGGTGCCGGCGGGTAGGGGGCGCGGGCGTAATGCCCGCGCTCAAGGGCGGTCCGGCGGGGCTGCGGGCATGGGGCCGGGGCCCGGGCGCCGCGCTGCGCTGTTTGCGCTGCGGAGCCTAGCAGCCGACTTCGGCCTCGTGCTTCCCTCCCGCTGCGCTGCCGGACTGAACGCGGTGGCCGCCGCCTCCCGCCTGGCGCTTAGCTCCTCCCGCCTTCTCGGGTTGGGGCCACCGCCCCCTCCGTTGGGCCCCGCCCACCCGCTTCGCTGGGCTCGGAGAGGGCGAGGGGTGGGGCTGCGGGCGGGACAGGCGCCTAATTGGGCCGCGGAAGCCGTGAGGAGGGAGGGGCAGAGAGGGGCGGGGTTTATGAGACTGGGGTGGGCGCCACAGAGGTAGCTGGAGAGGTTCGGAAATGGGGAGGGGGGACTAGAGTCAGGTAAACAAGGAGGATCCCAGAGGGAAGGGATGAATAGGACCAAAGAGCGAACGGAAGGGAGAGGCAGAGAGCTCAGAGTGGTATCGAGATAGATGTCCCGGGGGTCAGTCCTGAGGAAAACCGTGACAGAAGGACCAAGGACCACCACATGCAGGAGGTTGAAGGATGAAACATGTCCCCTATCTGCAGGGGACAAAGAGATGTTGGAGTGGGGCTGTGCAAAGTAAGGAGCAAGAGGACAGACCAAGAAAGAGGGACAGGGTGAAGGCCAAAGAGCGGGAAAGGAAGACTAGGGAGTCTAGCATCCAGATAACCCGTCTGGATACTTTGCTTTTAGGATGCCCAGAGGGATCTCTGAATTCTAAAAGCAGCCACCTCGTATTATTATTATTATTATTATTATTATTATTATTATTATTATTACTGTTCAGGAACACCCTCTCCCAGGGTAGCAACATCTTTTTGCCTTTCTTTTCTACTGCCCCTAGGGCTATCTGCTAGGCTGCCTCTGCCTGGGACCTCTTTCCCGCGGCTTCCTCTGATTCCAGCTACTAGCTAGACAAGGGAGAAACAAGACCCGTGAGAAGGTGAAGCCCCCCCCCCCATGTTATCTCTTAATGCTAACCAGTCCTGGGTAGTGCTATTTTCTAGCTGCCAAAAGAGGAAGGGTTGATCTCCCCTAGCCCCTTAGGGGACTCCCTAACTCATTCCCATCAGGTTGTGTGAGGCTCTCTTTTTTCCTTGAGCGCAGTAAAGTGTTTAGGTTGCATAAACTGAAATATGTCTGCTTCCATCAAAATATTTGTCATATTATTTGAGGCCCAGCTCAAGCTGCTGCGCTCTGTTCCTCCTTCACCCCCCCTCCCCCCTTCAGAGAAGGACTGTGTCTTTCTGAGGCCTCCGGTCACGATAAACAATGACACTCCAGCTGATTCTCTTCTCTATGGCTGCAAGACTCCTCCCAGCTCACACTCCCACCGCAGGCCTCCTGCGGTCCACATGATTCTGTGACTATTCCTACCTAAGACTGAGACTAAGGGACACAGGAATAACCGATGGTAGGAGTGGGGGTGGGCGGGACGCTGCCAGAGAGGACCTTCTAAGCACCAACCCAGGTCAGAATGACATGGATCACCAAGGAGGAGGGAGCTAAAACAAAACTGTGTTGGATGCTGTGTATGTATGAACATATTTGATCTTCAAATCAATCTAGACATAAAGCCCACCAATAGTCTCATTTTACAGATGGAGAACAGAGGCTCTGTGAAGTTAAGAGATTTGCCCCCAAGTCACGAAAGTAAGATATGGTGGAGGTAGCTAGCTAGCATTCAAGCCTGCAGCCTCATTCCCAGATGTTCCAACCTCAACGCGACAGGGTCCCTGGGGACTAGTTACTGTCCAAAGTGCAAGGTGATGCGAGCACACTTTAGTGTCCTTACGCTTCTCCTGGCAGACGCAGGCCAAGAAGACCTCCTGGTCCCTCGGGACAGTTTCTTAAGTGCAATTCCCTTTAGAGCGACCGGGCTGGTGACCCGAGGGGCACATGCGCGGTCATGGGAGTTTGATTTGTCCAGACCTTCAAGACACACGCTAGAGACCCTCGTCCCTTAGGCTACTGGCGTTCGTTGGTTGCCCGCAGCCTTAGCTTGGCGGGCGGGGGAATCAACCCAACAGTATGCGGCGGCCGAGGTGGGGGCGAAGGCGGCCACCCCCTCGCTCGTCTGGCCGTCCGAGAGGCGCGCTCGTCGCCGCACCGCGCTTCGCCCCCCGCCCAGAAAGCGCGCCCGCTCCCCTGGCGCGGTGTGGCGTCTCTGTCAGCCCAGCCGGATTCTCCCCGCTTCGCTGGAGTGGAAAATAACGGCTTCAAACTTTGCAGAAAGGAGCTGGTGCCAGCACTTTAATTAACAGCCATCTTGGCCTGTGAGCCTGAGCCACCGCCTCCTCCCTTGAGCTCCTCCCCTGGGCTCTCCAGGCCCCGCCCAGGTCCCCCCGTTAGAGACTATCCCTACTCCTACCCCTCCGGAGCTCAGCACCTTTTTATCTGAGAGATCAGGTCTGGACGGATTGAGAGGATGCTGCATTAACGTCGTCTCCTCATTTTAATTCGTAAAAATCTTCTCCAAGCAATCTTCATTCTCAAAAGCCGGATCCAAAATACTGGAATTAAAGAACTAGGTGCTGATTCCACCTGGTGATTTTAGATCAATGGCCTTGTGTCCATTACCTCCAGTGTCCTCCTCTGGAAAAAGGGTGGTTGTGGGAGATTAAATGAGATACAACATACTTAGAATGTCGGGCCTTAGTTGCTAATATAATTGCGCTACCTAAGAAAGTCCTCTCACCACCCACCCTTGGCCTAAGTTGGCTGTGTGTTAAACTGTCTTCTTCCTGAAGATTGCCGTATTTGGGCTAGAAGAGGACAGAGGATATATGCTTCTAGGTTTAGAGAGGGCACACGAATCTTTTCTTATTTTTAATTTTTGATTATTTGCTTGTTCGTTTTGAAACAGGGTTTCTCTGTATAGCCCTGGTCCATCCTACAACTCGCTCTGTAGACCAGGCTGGCCTCGAACTCACAGAGATCCGCCTGCCTCTGCCTCCCGAGTGCTGGGATTAAAGGAATGTGCCACCACTGTCAGGTTCCAGGCCTTATCTACGGGACAAAATAAGGGCTTAGGTCTTCAGGGAAGCCCAGAAGTGAGGACTCTGCCTGCAGGAGGGCAGGCAGCACCCTTCCACGTTCCAGATTCCATAGTTGTTGAGGGCAAAACCATGTGTAGCTTTGACTTCCCTTTTCTGATGGAGGATTCATCCATCTGGTCCCTCCATTTTCGTGGTGGGGGTTGGTCCTCAGTGATAAAGTGAATTGCTTGGGGAGGGCACAGGAAAAGGAGAACAAGGTTTCTGACTTATGTATGGCTGCTTTTGAGAATGAGTAGCTGTCTTTGGTGCTTGGAGGTGCGCTGAATGAGTGTGAGTGGGTGGGCGTGGCTGTGAGAGACTGTGTTAGCAGTGTCTGGGATGTGAGCGATGAAGGGAAACAGACTTTGACTGAGCAGCTGGCAGGTCCACAGTCAGTGGTGTTTGCCTTGACTGGAGACACCTAGCTGGGTGCTGCAAGATGGTAATGGTGATCTGCCGCACGAGAAGAGCTCAGTGGAAGCACCGTTGGGCAGGAGACATGGGCAGAAAGAAATTCTAAAATAATGTTACTGCAGCCAGTGCGAGTTTTGATCCACTTACTAAATACCAGAACCCATTTCAAGCACTTTATATGTATTCCGCTCCTTAGAATGAATAGTTGATTGTCATGGACTTAAAGTCATTAGGTGTCTTTTAAAAATTAGTGTGTTGTGTGTTTGAGTATTTTGCCTGCATGTATGTCTGTGCACCACTTATATTCCTGACCCTGTGGAGTCCAGAAGAGGGCATCAGATTCCTTGGAACTGGAATTATATAGGTGACTGTGAGCTACCATATAGGTGCTGGGAATTGAACCCAGGTCCTCTAGAAGAGCAGGTAGTGCTCTTAAATGCTGAAGTTATTGTATGTCTTTATTTATTTATTTTTAGATAAGTTCTTTCTATATAGCACTGGTCATCCTAGGATTTGCTATGCAGACCAGGCTGGCCTTGAACTTATAAAGATCCACCAGCCTGTGCCTCCTAAGTACTAGGGTTAAAGACGTGTGCCACCATGCCCAGTATGTGTCTTCATAGGACAAACCTCAAGGTAGATACTGTTATTTGCCCTGTTTTATGACTGAGGAGTCTGAGTTTGGGTAGGGGTTTGCACGAGATGTTATGAAGCATAAATGATTCACAGATGAAGATTGGCAAGCCCACGGGACTCCAGGGAGGCATTACAAAGGAGGCATCATTTTTTTTTTTGCACCTGTCTGTCTATTCATTCATCTTTCTCCCATCCATTCTGTAACATAATTTTAACTGACTCAGGGTCCAATTTATTACCACGGGGACATAATGATGAGCAAGAAAAGGCTTCCGACCTCATGTAGTTTACAGCGTACCACTGGACGCAGGACTATTAAACAAGCAGTAGCTATTAAGCCTGACAAGCCTGCTGCCTGGGAACCTGTGACAGTCACACAGGATTCTTCTGGAGGCTGGAAAGAGGGGACACTTCCTGATCCAGGTGCTGTTTAAATTAAGCCCTGACAAAGGAAGTCAGCAAGGTGAGGGGCTGGCTGTCAGAGGGATGGAGGAGGGGGATAGGACAGGGGTTTAGCTAGAGAAAACAGCATGTGTTAAGAACAGCATGTGTTAAGGACTAAGCTTGTGGGGGGTCCTGTGGGCTGTGACGGAGTTTACAATTTATCCCAAGGCAATTAGAGATGACTACTAGTGAAGGATGCTGAATGAGAAATAGGATCAAAATTTTTGCATGAGAATGATTACTCTGGCTCCTGTGGGGAAGAAAGATTAAAATAGAACATTTGTGGAGAGACAAGGAGGTGATTGTGGTCCAGGTAAGACGTGATAGCCTAGAATAGGCAGACGAGAGTTTACCTTAGCAACTGATGAGAGGGACCCTAAAAAGATAGGGAGGGGGACAGAGGACTTCCAGATTTCTGGAGGAATCTTGAAATGTCTATATGGGAATGAGGGATGGATGGATTCTATTGGCATGGCCTGGGTACCGATATGGACTATGTTCTTTTGTATTCTAGTTATTGAATTCTTACTAGGGTCTAAAGAATCAGTGCCACCATCTCCACA